AGGAAGAAAGAAAATAAAGTAAAGAAAAGTAACAAGAAAGAAAAGTCATAAATTTCGTTCTTTTCATTTATTCATTCATCTACATTTTCTGTTTCTTTTTTTTTCTTTTCATTCATTAATTCATTCATTGTCTCTTTCCGTTTTTCTTTTTTTTTTTTTTGTTTACATTTTTCTTTTCTCTCTTTATCTGAAGGAGAAGTATGTTACTGGAAAAAAGTAAAATGAATGACAAATATGAGGAGAGGATAAAAAATGACAAAAAGAAAGAAAGAAAGAAAGAAAGATAGAAAGAAAGTCGTTATTTGGACAGGAAAAGAAAGGATGTAAAAAGAATGACAAAAAGCATGAGGAGATGTGGAGATGAGAAGAAAGAAAGAAAGAAAGAAAGAAATAACGTAGGAGAAGGTTGTTATTCGATAAAGAAAAGAGAGAAAGGAAAAGATTCGCAAAAAGGATAACGAAAAGTAGAGATGAGAAAGAAAGAAAAAAAGAAAGAAAGAAAGAAAAAAGAAACAAAGAAAAAGAAAGAAAAAAGAAAGAAAGAAATAACGTAGGAGAAGGTTGTTATTCGATAAAGAAAAGAGAGAAAGGAAAAAGAATCGCAAAAAATAAGGAAAATTAGAGATGAGAAAGAAAGAAAGAAAGAAAGAAGGAAAGAAGGAAAGAAAGAAAATACCGAAAAAAGATATGAAGAAAGAAAAAAGAAAGATAATGACGAAAAAAAGAAAGAAAAAAATACGAAAGAAAGAAAGAAAAATAACGAAAGGAAAGAGAGAAGAAAGAAAGAAAGAAAGAAAAAAGAAAGAAAGAAAGAAAAGGAAAGAAAAAAGAAAGAAAGAAAGAAAGAATGATAGAAATAACGTAGGAGAAGGTTGTTATTCGATAAAGAAAAGAGAGAAAGGAAAAAGAATCGCAAAAGAATAAGGAAAAGTAGAGATGAAAAAGAAAGAAAGAAAGAAAGAAAGAATGATAGAAATAACGTAGGAGAAGGTTGTCATTCGATAAAGAAAAGAGAGAAAGGAAAAAGAATCCCCCCAAAATAAGGAAAAGTAGAGTTGAGAAAGAAAGAAAGAATAAAAGGAGAAAGAAGGATGGTTTTTAGAAAACGAAGAAAACGCATAAAAAAGAATCTCACAGAGAATGAGATGACAAATGAAAAATGACGAATAGAAAGAAAGAAAGAAAGAAAGAAAGAAAGAAAGAAAGAGAGCGAAAGTAACAATTGCCTTTTATGGAAATCTTTTGGAGAGATCGAGGCACTTGCCGAGTAGAAATGCTTGACCATTATTGATGTCCCAGACTTTCAGGCACAATTCCCACACATTTTTCCATTTGACTTTGATCGATTAATATTGATTAATTTCCGATAAGTTTCTACCGATCATTCCCATCCAAAGTTAACAGGTGAAAAAATCTGAATTAATTACATTTAATTTTAAATATTAGTCAATTATTGCTGGATTTATTTCCAGGAAAAGAAGGAGAAAAACGAGGTGTAGACATGCACATTCTAACAATTATCATTTATTACCTACGAGAGTGGGCTGAAAAGTTCATAGTCTGACTATTAAGAGTGATGCTTGAACTGTGAAATCTTGCGTGGATTAATTCTAACTCTTCTTATTAATAAATGCATTTTTTCTTTCCAGGGGATATACTAATAGCATTGGCTATTTGATTTATAGTAGGTACCTTCGCTAAAAAAGAGCATATCACGATGAAACAAAAGTATATAAAAACACAAGAAAAAAACAATGTATTTTTATTATTTTATTAATTTTTTAATCCTTTCGAAATTTTGTTTTTTTTTAACTCAAAAGATTTTATTACTTAAACGTTATTTTTAGAGGATACCCATATTTGATTAGACGCTCTGTTTATTTATTAAACAGTATATTCATTTATTTTCGTCTACACGTCTGAATATTCAAGAAATCTTATTAAAAAATATACACTATTCGGTAGGATTCGAATCCTCATCCTCCCCTTCTGGCACAACTTTACATGCATTAGATATAGCAATTGATTCAGTATAGTCGTTCCACTTCATGACAATACAAAGCGTATGGCCGTGAAGGTGGGTAGAATATTTCCTCCTGGAGTTTAGCATCAACCAGGCTGATGGCAGACAGAAAAAAAAAATTTAAATTTTATGTAGGTTTGGTGTGTATTTAAAGCACACTAGTAGATTTGACTATGTGAAAGTACTATCATAATGGTACACGAAATAGTTTATTATATATATATATATATATATATATATATATATATATATATATATATATATAATTTAATAGAAAAAACAGACCATTTAAGGTACCATTATAATAATTTATTTCACCAGAGTCGGGTAAACAAACTATTATAATTTAAAATATTTTTTTTAATATGTTCTATATAAATGTGTTAATAAATGTAGTATTTAACTTATATTAAATCCCTAAACTATTTGTTTAAAAAAAATTAAATATTTAAATTGATAGCAAACATCAAATTTTTTAGACATCTAAATTTCTATCAAGCATTAAAATCTATTCTTTACATAAATTGCTAAAACCCAATTACAGCCTCTTTCTCTTTTACTTCCTCTCCCTCCCTTCTTTTTTTTTTTTCCTTTTTCCTTTTGCTTTTCTCCCTACTCCCCTCACATTTCTATATATCACTTCCGTTAAGTTAACCGTCTAAATATGTCAAGGTCTGATCACTCCTCCTCCTCCAATATAAAGTATACTTGAGAGAGATATGAAATTAATCCCTCCCTATACTCTAACATGTCTCTTTAACTATCCCTCTTACACTCTCTGTTAAATTACAAAAACTTACACTATCCATCAATTTGAATTTCATTTTTCGTTTCCATTTCATTTTTGAAGTGTATATCTGATGTTCCGGTGTCCTTTAAAAGGGCTCTGGTGAAATAAATTATTATAATGGTACTTTTAAAGTGGTCTGTTTTTTTTTTAAATATTAGCCCTGGGTTTACACTGAGCTCTCAGGATTTCATCCTCCTTGGGATTACCTATACGGATTACCAAGTTCTTCATAACTTATATATATATATATATATATATATATATATATATATATATATATATATGAGAGAGAGAGAGGGGAACACATGCTGAACATGCTACTGTTTGTAGCATTTAATGTAATGGTTAACCAAGACATACCCACAACTCTAATTTTAAATCTGACCTTATGCCCCGCCCTTAATTTTCGGAAAATCATGACATTTTCCACTGAGCAGTTTTGAGAAAAAACATATTTTACGTAGATAAAGACCTTTCGTAAGTTGTGGGCTATATTCGTGAGTATATTTTTTTTGTATTTCTTTAAGGCATGGGCTACCAGGGATTCCTTTAAGGAATCTATTGGGATCTTTTCCAATCAATCCGAGGGCTCCAACTACAACTGGAATTGTTAATGTCTTCATGCACCACATTTTTGAGATTTCGATTTCAAGGTCCTTGCATAGATTTCTGAAGATCTTCAAAGATACATTGCAGTCTGCAGGGACTGCCACGTCATTAAGGAGGCACAGTTTACCTTTGCGCCTCTAATCACGATGTCAGGGCGATTAACTTTGATTCTTCTGTCTGTGTGTTTTGTGAAGTCCTATAAAATTGTTACAGGTAATCGGATCTAGGTGGTGCTCATACTGATTTCTTGCAGTTTCCTTTTGTTATAGACAAGCGTATGGTTGCAAGAAGGAAATACGACAACAGCAGAAATAGATTTACGTGATTTATTTCAATAGGAACTGTGGGTTTGGGACAGCTACTTTGTGTATAGTTCATAAAGCCGGTTGCCGATCGGGCTGATCTCTCATAGTAGTTCTCACTGGCTGGCGGCGCTCCTCCTGCTGGACTGCTGCTGACTGCCCAGACTGACCGTGACAGATCTCTTCCTGGCCTCCTGTTGACTGTTAGTGCCCCGTGTGACTCTTTTTATGGCGTTTTTTTATGGCTTAACAGGCCTGAAAACGACGCGAGTATAATTAGAGGGGAAGATTTTATTGGTCGAAAAATAGAAACACTTTAAAATATTATTTTATTTTCGACCGGAAATCGTGCTTCGGGCCTATGCGTAAACGACGATAATGGTCATTTTGTGACGGGGCCTTGTCCCATTCACATCCGGCTCTCGCTCTTGAGTATGTTAGTTTATTTGCCTGCAAATCAGCCGAGATCTGTCTTATTTTATTTTATAACACTTTCTGTAATTGTTGCAGATTTTCCAGTGCAGATATTGGCCCACTCTTTTACAAATACCTATCAGTCGAAAATGTCATGAAATCATTTCTGACTTTAGGTCTCTGTTTGGGACTAGGAAGGATATGTGTATCCAACAGAAATCAAATAAATAATAATAATAATAATGTCGTGAGGTAGCTTGTTGTCACTTGATCTCAACAGAAAGACGCCAGATAATACTGGTGTGAAAGCTCAAAATAATAAATGTATGAATAAGAAAAGCTCTTTAGTTCAAGAGCAGACAAGTCGTGCTGCTTTTTCTTCTCCCCCTATCAATGACGGAAGTTTAACAAACAACGCTGCTCGGTAAACCTCCCTCTCCTGATATCATTTATTGAATTGAAAGGAAGCACCATTTGCAGACAATACAATACTCCAAATGCAGACAAGGAAGGTCCTTTGTCTTCGAGTAGCTACTTCCTTTGATGCCATCTTTTTTCTTAATTCCTAATTCGTGAACATTGCCGAGCGTCTCTGGCTGTTATCGGTGAGTCTTTTCAAACGTAAGAGTAAAGGAGATGGTCGGGGTTCGAATAAAGGGGACAAATGCTGGAAAAAGAAAAGAATCAATTCTGAACTGAACACACAGTTGCCTGGCTCGTTGTCAATGGTAGGTGTTCGGACCGATTGATGAAGCCAGGACTTCGCTTGCTGATTTATTAGGAAGGCCACTAGGCAGATGGGTGCACTAAGTACATTTCCACATAGGCTGGCCTTGTATCCTACTAAAATAGGCAAAGCGAATCAAAGAAAGAAAGAAAGAAAGAAAGAAAGAAACCAACGAAGGTGAAAAATGTAAGGAAAAGAAAGAAAGAAACTGATGAAGGAGAAAAATGTAAAAAGAAAGAAAGAAAAAACGAAAGAAAGCGATAAAGGAGAAAAATGTAAGTGAAAGAAAAAAGAAAGAAAACGATGAAGGAGAAAAATGTAAGAAGAAAGAAAGAAAGAAAGAAAGGAAAAAAGAAAGAAAACGATGAAGGAGAAAAATGTAAGTGAAAGAAAGAAAGAAAGAAAAAAGAAAGAAAGAAAGAAAGAAAGAAAAAAAAAGAAAGAAAACGATGAAGGAGAAAAATGTAAGAAGGAAGAAAGAAAGAAAGAAAGAAAGAAAGAAAGGAAAAAAGAAAGAAAGCGATGAAGGAGAAAAATGTAAGTGAAAGAAAGAAAGAAAGAAAAAAGAAAGAAAGAAAGAAAGAAAGCGATGAAGGAGAAAAATGTAAAAAGAAAGAAAGAAAGAAAGCGATGAAGGAGAAAAATGTAAGTGAAAGAAAGAAAGAACGAAAGAAAATAGGAAGAAAGTGATGATGGAGAAAAATGTAAAAAGAAAGAAAAAGTGATGAAGGAGAAAAGTGTAAGTGAAAGAAAGAAAGAAAGAAAGAAAGAAAGAAAAAAAAAAAAAGAAAGAAAGAAACGATGAAGAGAAAAAAAAGTGAAAAAAGAAAGAAAGAAAGAAATAAACAAAAGAAAGAAAAGAAAGAAAGAAAGAAAGAAAGGATGAAGGAGAAAAAAAAGAAAAAAGAAAAGAAAGAAAGAAAGAAGGAGAAAAATTAAGTGAAAGAAAGAAAGAAAGAAAGAAAGAAAGAAACGATGAAGGAGAAAAATATAAAAAAAAAGAAAGAAAGAAAGAAAAAAGAAAGAAAGAAAGAAAGAAACGATGAAGGAGAAAAATATAAAAGAAAGAAAGAAAAAAAGAAAGGAAAGGAGAAGGAGAAAAGAAAGAAAGAAAGAAAGAAAAAAAAGAAAAAATGAAAAAGAAAAAAAAAGAAAAGAAAGAAAGAAAGGAAAAAAAAAGAAAATGAAAGGAAAGAAAAAAAGAAAGAAAAAAAAAAAAAGACGAAGAAGAAAATGTAAAAAGAAAGAAAGAAAGAAAGGAAAAAAAAAATGGAAAAAAAGAAAGAAAGAAAGAAAAGGGAAGAAAGAGATGGAGAAATGGAAAGAAAGTGATGAAGGAGAAAATGTAAGAAAGAAAGAAAAGAAAGAAAAAGAAAAAGGAAAAAAGAAAGGAAAGAAAAATGTAAGTGAAAAGAAAGAAAGAAAGAAATAAATAAAAAAAGAAAGAAAAAAAAAGAAAGAAAGCGATGAAGGAGAAAAAAATGAAGAAGAAAGAAAGAAAGAAAGAAAGGATGAAGGAAAAAAGGAAGAAAGAAAGGAAGAAGAAGAAAACGATGAAGGAGAAGAAATATAAAAAAAAGAAAGAAAGAAAGAAAGAAAGAAAGAAACGATGAAGGAGAAAATAAAAAAAGAAAGAAAGAAAAAAAAAAGAAAGCAAAAAGAAAAATTAACTCAAAAGAAGGAAAAAGAAAGAAAAAGAAAGAAAGCGATAGATAAAAAGAAGGAAAAGAAAGAAAGACAGAAAGAAAAAAAAGAAAAATGGCGAGGAAAGAAAGAAAAGAAAGAAAGAAAAGAAAGAAAGAAAGAGAAAAAAGAAAAAATAAAGAAATAAATAGCAAAAAAAAAAAAGCGAGAATAGATAAAAGAAAAAGAAAAAAAAACAAAAAAAATGGCGATAAAGGATAAAAATGTAGAATATGGGGAATAAATAAGTAAAAAAATTAGGAAAGAAAGAAAGAAAAAGAAAATAATAATAATAATAATAATAATAAGAAGAAGAAGAAGAAGAAGAAGAAGAACAACAACAACAACAACAACAACAACAACAAAACAAGAAAAATTTGAATCTTCCAACAGGATAAAAATTGAAATTATCTGCGTACTCGGAAAAGTTGGAAAAATATTAAAAGAACTGTGAGGCCAACGAAAAGCTGAAATTATCCAGACAACAGTCCTACCCATATCAGCAAGAAAAGTGCTGGAACACTATAATGATCTGTTAGCTGATCTCCTAAATAAACCATCAAATACGAATGGCCGAATAACTTCATGTGTATTATAATACTCCTAATATAACTATTAATATTAATAATAATCTCTTTTATTAACGCCTGTTAATGTCTCTGAGACAAGCATCCTTGCATAAAAGGAGTAAAATCATCTTCACTGTTTACCTGCTAGTGATAATGAAAGGTAACAGACGATTTTTATTGTGGCTCTTCGCTTCTGTCATGCGTACGCAAGGACTCGATACTTGCTTGCTTCCTTCCCTAATAACAAAGATGTCTTTCTTTTACCTCCCATTATCGACCTCTTCCCTAATTCGCGTCCTTTATTCTTCTTCATTTTCTTCTTCAGTGGTTTTAATTTCTGAATGGATCTTTTGTTTTGGACATCATATGAACTCAGTCTAAAAAAAAAACTCCCTTTATGAATTACCGTAGAGCAAGTTTGGGAGCATCAATAGAATTGATAAAAGTCAAAAAGTTACCTTCAACATCTCGACTCCAGAGTTTCGTAGACGGAGCCTCCGGAAATCACCCCATAAGGCTAGGAAGAGACCTTGAGGGATAAAATCACTTGCTGTACTTGCATTACCGTGAGTGTTGTTATTATGAAAGGCAAGAAGAAAGTGTCGTTAGGAAGAGCATCCGGACTTGTAAAACCTTTCCACAAATCATTATGAGAAACAATTTTGTCATGCGGGGCCTACCTTACCTTGTTCGAGATAAATCCCTTTCCCACTCCAACAAAATAAAATACGGCTCTATATGTATGTATGTATGTATGTATGTAGGTATGTATGTAGGTATGTATGTATGTACAGAGTAATATACCAAAATATATACAACGCCGAATATACACATAATTGCATCCATTCCACTAACTCTATATACACAGCACATGCGTCACAGCCAAATGTCCGCGATATGGTTGCATGTTTTGAGAAAGGCAGCAAAAAACCTTGCAGGTGTCGCCTAGATCGAACTCCCTTCAGCTTGTTTGGGTTTTAAAATTTTATTACTATTATCATTTGTGTATGCTATGTATCTTGCAGAGCCGGGTACAAACTATGGTCCTTAGGCCCTATAGGAGAATCGGCATTTAATTGATAGCACTTTTCTTAGTATAGGGGATGTTACTCGTAGAGCGATCTTCTGGGCAAGTTATATGTTGATGTTACCCAGAACGCTGTTAGTAAAATTGACCATTCCTTTTCTCACAAGGCCCAGAGCTCTGATTACTATTGGTACAGTCTCAGTCTTCATCACATCCTGTTAATCTCGATGCGATAGGGAAATTTCTACGGATATTTCATTGTCGTAGAAGACGCCAGGAACTTATAACCAAAGAATTCAGATTTCATCAGTAAATTAAAATAAGAAAACCGTGAAATTTTCACGGGTATTTGTAGTTATTATTATTATTATTATTATTATTTGTGTATGTTATGTTTCCTGCATTGTATCCTGTAGAGCCTGGTCCAAACTATGGCATTTAGGGTCTATAGGAGAATTGCCATTTAATTGATATCACTTTTGTTAGTATATGGGATGTTACTAGTAGAGCGATCTTCTGGGCAAATTTATGTTGATGTTACCTAGGGCACTCTTAGTAAAATTGTCCATTCCTTTTGTCACGAGGCCCAGTGCTCTGATTACTATTGATACAGTCTCATTATTCATTCACCACATCCTTTTAATCTCGATCTCCAGATCCTTGTATTTGGACAATTTATCGATAATTTTTATGGGGGTGTTTCTCTCAGATGGTACTGCAATGTCAATAAATATATACTTTTTTTTTTTTAAGCATTTCACCTCAAGCAAGGCGGGAAGCCACTAGGACGCAAGGGGTTACAGAAAATTTAGAGCAAGATCAGGCAGGAGTGATAGAAGAAAGGATGAGGAGGAGCCATTTGGAAAGATCAAGGCAACTGAGATGTCGATTGACATTACATTTGAATAGTTGGAGAATATAGCTCTCAGGGAAACTGGAATAAGAAGGTGTTCCACAGGCGAGATGCGAGACATGAAGCTATTGGAGTAGAAGAGAAATAAACATTTAGGGTTTTTCGACAGTGAAGGGGTGAATTGGGATGCCATCCTCGTAGGACGCTTGAACTCATGACGTCTGGGAACCAGCGAATGCAGCTCCTCGGAGCAATTTCCATGAAAGTATTTGTAGAACAGATAGAGAGAGAGGCGTCTGTGAGAAAGTTTGTAGACGAGATGCCAGAGCAGGGCCAATTATATTGCATATCCGCCTCTAGAGCCTATCAAGAACCTTTCTTTATAATTGTTGACTTTATTTCGTTCTTTTATGATAACAATCGCGTTGTTTTAACAAGTTGTGTTTTTTCGTTTGGCAGGGTTTCAGGGTTCAGGTATATAAAGCTGTTTAAAAGACTATTGTCCCCATCTTTGACGCGATTTTTATTACAACGTTTCGGCCGATGCACTCTCCAGCCTTATTCAGGTGGTTGGAATGTCGAACTGAACCCTTTATTTCGCTCACTGGGGTAGGACACATGACACAGTGGATAAAGGCGTTAGTTAGATCCAGTGACAGGACCCAAAGTGTGTGAGTTCAATACCCGGTTATGCAGTGGAGAACTTTCAGAGGGAAAATTAACAGGAGATAACTGATCACTGACATCCATTAAACATGGCACGTGGAACTAGAACAGTCCAGTGAGCGAAATAAAGGGTTCAGTTCGACATTCCAACCACCTAAAGAAGGTCGGAGCGTACAACGGTCGAAACGTTGTGATAAATATGGTGACGTAGATGAGGACAATAGTACAAATAATGTAAATAGTATGATTCCTGTCATCAACTTTCAACTTAATTTATGTTATTGGTCGATAGTTAATTGCTAGACTTTCTTTGGTCTCGTCTTTATACAATTAGTACTGAGTGACCAAGAGTCATCCAATCGATAACACTATCATGATCTATACAATATTGCAAGTTCTACCTTGGATATTTGTACATATTTTGGAAGCTCCTAAGGCAATATCCCTGCACACAGTCTGCATCAGGAGCTTTCCCCAGTTTTCTATTTTCATCAATATTATCATTGATTTTTTTGGGTTTTTTTTTCGTTTGTGATAACAGTTTTCTTTTTCCTGTTTTCATTTACTTTTTTGTAAACAATTTTCCACTTTTGATCTTAAAAGCCTTTTGCTTTCTTACATTGATTATTCCTTTCACTATCCAGACAGTATACTTTCTTTTTTCTATATTCTCTTCCTGTTTGTTGTCTCCGCCAGAGTTCTATTCGCCACTTGAGACTACTTTCTCTTCCTCACTCTAAGCAGTCGTATAATGACGGCCGATCCCCACTCTGCCAAGTAATGGGACTCCGGCCAGACGAGATACCTTCACCATTGGTTCTAAGTTTTATACACGCTGTTCTTTTCAATACTTTGATTGGACATTTCATTCATAAGAAAGTTAGTGAGTCTAAGGTTGCACAAGCACCAATAGTGTTTTATCAAGACACCATCACTAAAAGGGTGCCAGACAAACCTACAACACTCTTCTCATGTCCATGAGACAGTTATAACTCCAGATGTTAACTGGGGGACTTCAAGACCACGGTCTATTATTATTATTATGGTTACTATTATTATTATTGGTTTTTTTTTTTCGTTTGTGATAACAGTTTTCTTTTTCCTGTTTTCATTTTTTTCCTCTCGTATCCATACTGAGTTTTTCCTGTGTTATTTCTTCCCAAACGTCCTTCCATAATATCTGTCCTTCATTTGAATCGAATGGCTTACTCTCTTTGGTAGTCACGTCGTCGTTCAAGCATCTAAAAAAAGACTTACCTCGATTAGTGTCAAACCGCCTATTCTGCTGGAACTGACGATATTCAGTCACCCCCACGAGGGTGTCATGTGGCACAGGGCCTTTTTTAACGTGGAAATCTTTAAACCATTAGGCTCGGCATAAAAACATCCATTTGAACAGTGCATAAACGGGTTCAGGGCCGGTTTTACCTCCCCGAAGGAGACTCCACCCTGCTGGAACTGACTGATTCCCTGCTGGCATCGATTTATTTCGCCACTATTTTCTTTGTTGTGTTTCTTTTCTCCCTATAGCTAGCCGTTTTCTATTGCGTTTTTATCGTCTTTCCAGAGCAGTGACTCACAACCGCCGTGCTGCGGCACACTAGTGTGCTGAATGATCCTCTTAGATGTGGCGTGAAATATTGTCACTGCATAAATGTGTGTGTGTAATTAGTAGTGCTACAGCGTTAGTATTTGAATAAATGAATAAGTATTAACTTTTTCAAATAATTCTTGTCACTATGTTCCTTCTAATATTGGACTTCAGTTATGTGAAGGAGAAGAATTGGTCACCATTTTTAGTGATCGAGGGATTAAAATATAACATTCGACAGTACCCATTGATACATTTTAGATTTCAATACAAAAAGGATTATCCCACATTAGCTAAAAAGGCTTTATCAGTTTGATTGCAATTTTCTACTTCTTATTTATGTGAATTTGGTTTCTCAACCTTAAATAACATCAAAAATAAGAAGCGAGAAAGACTACGCTTAACCAAAGAAGAAATAAGGGTTTTTTTTTTTTATTTCCCTTTCCAATTAGTATTAAAAAAAAAAGCCTTACTTTAGCACAGTGATTGGGATTTGAAATCCATTCATAAATCTTTCTTCTAATATTGGACTTCAGTTATGCAAAGAAGAAGAATTGGCCACCATTTCAAGTGATTGAGGGATCAAAATAAAACATTCAATGGTACCCATTGATACATTTTGGATTTCAGTACAAAAGGAATATCCCACATTAGCTAAAAAGGTTTTACAAGTGTTGTGGATACCGGGTTGAAATCCGGTACCAATAAATAACAAACGCCAGGAATGAATATATGAAAATAATGTATTAAACGTAATAATACAAACTGGTAAAGCAGGTTAGTAGTTCCAGGAATACGGGTTAGTAGCAAAATATATATACAGTCTTTGGTATTGAAGTATCGCTGTATGACTTCTTACTGAGTCTACGTGCTCGCTCACTGTGACTCCTACAACGCTGTTACCTCACCCTCACTCTTCCGGTTACCTACATTGTATAAAAAGGGGTGGACCCCTCAACAATAAGTTTCACTGCAATTTTCCACTTCTTAT